TAAGCAGTAAATACCAGTTAAAAAACTCTCCACAACAGCGCTGGAGTAGCTAGAGGGTATGAAATGAACTTAGTAGTTGTTGACGGAGTGAAGTGTGTGACTTGAGGAATTTAATAATTGTGGTAACTAGAGTAGTTGATGAAACTGCAATATTTAAAGCCTCAACTACTCTCATTGTGTAAAATAATTTAGTAAATATAACCTACAAAAAGTCGCCGTGAAACACGTAGTGATTTTGAAAATAAAAATTTTGAAAACCATAAAATAATTATTTTAAAAAAGAAATATGGTGAAGTCTATGCAATAATAAATTATCAAAAGTTCTTTAAAATTTACCCTCTAGCCACAGTGGCGCCACCCTAATTAAGCACTTTCCTGCGGACACTTTTTTATACAGAGTGGGTGTTCCCTACCTCTACACTCTATGCTCAAGGTTTTCGTAACCAGGTGAATAAATATACAAAAAACGAGTTGCCAATCGATCAATACATAAACTTAATCTTTGATCATCGGTTGGTAAAGAAATGGCTGCTGTGCAGGTATTCCGCTGTGCTTTGTTTTTAGAAAGGAAGTTTCTTGTTATATTCTTGTTGGTTTTGTTTATTTACTAAAGAAAACGATAACAAATCTGTGTACCAGCTGAGAAGCAGACTGCAAGCCAGCATAAAAAAGCAAGCTTAAGTAACTTTAAGCATAAAAATAAAGTTGATTCATTTCTTAACTCTGGCATTTTTTACTTATTTACTCATATTTTTTACATAGAAATAAAAAATTGCAAGCTATATATCGAAACCATCGATATTATTGATCAATATATCGCAAAGTATAGATACATTGCGATATATTATATCGAAAAAATATCGATACTTTTTCTACATGACATCCCTAGTTACAACCATGTCACTACTGTACGTTAAACATCGATAGTTTGGTAATCCGATAGTATCGATAGTTTAACTAAAAACTATCGATAGTATCGATAGTCTATCGATAGTTTAAAAACTTGTAGGATTAGCGTAACATCAATAAAATAACAAATGTTATACGAAACGTAGAATTTTATTTTGATATATATATATTCGAAATAACAATCAAACAATCAAAAATCAGTATTCATCATTATTATAGTTAGAAATCAATCATTAAAATAACAGCTATTTTGTTTTATAAACAACAATTCATTTAATCTTTTTTCTTTTAACCTATTTCTGCGTTCGGTTAAAATTTGTCCGGCCTTCGAAAATATTCGTTCTGAAGGCACAGAAGATGCTGGAATACAGAGATAGAGCATCGCTAATTCCTTCAATTTATTGTTGGTGTATTTCCAGTATGTTATAGGACACTCTTTTCTGTCAATTACTGGCTTCTCGAGATATTGCCTGACATCTACCAATGAGTTACTCAACGGGGTCGATACGTCCGGAACGTCTAGAAATCCCAACAGGTCATTAGATGTTCCTGAAGACGTGGATGGTGTTGGTTGCGTTTCTTCTACAGCCAAGCGTTCTTTAGTTAAATGGCTAGCATAGGCCTTTTCCAGCCACTGACCAGCTCGCTTCTCGTCGTCACTTGTTTTGAACCCCTTCTTCTTAAATCTGTGGTCCAATATTGTAGCAAGTACAACAGGTGTCCTGCTTTCATAGGGACTTAGTCTTTTGTCAACTGATCCCTTCATGCAGAGTAATATTTTGTTTCCGCTTTCAGTAACAATTTGAGATTCAACTTCTACTAATTTCGTTTTTATTCCACGAATCAATGGTATTATCAGTGACAATGTTATATAGCTTTCTCCGGAAATTTTTGTTGTAGCTAGATCGAAAGGTTCCAGAATTTGAATTGTTTCTTGAATAATTAGGTATTCGTCAGCATTGACTCCTGGTGGAGCCCGATTACATTCATTAAGTGCGAGAGTTAATTCTGTCTTCATTGTAACAATTCTTTGCAGCATGTGGTATGCACTGTTCCAGCGGGTGGGTACTTCCTGGATCACTTTCAGTTCTGGTTTATTTAATTCACGTTGAATAGCCCGTAATTTATCGCTAGCTAGAGTACTCATCTTGAAAAAAGTCACAATCGATTTACATTTTTTCAGAATCTGGTCTAAGCAGGTCACAGCAAACGAATCACTTACCGTCAGGTTTAGTGTGTGCGCAAAGCAGGGTATATGTCGTATATGCAGTTTGGCTGCGGCGTTAATCATTGTTTGAGCGTTATCAGTCGTTATTGCTTCACATTTTGACCTGATATCCCATTTTGAGAGAGTAGCATCCAACATCTGAAAACAATAATAATATTGTTTATGTCTGATTATAAAGAAACACTGAATTGGTAGGTATCAAGGCAATAAAATTTAAAAAGACTTACACTGGCTATATTTTCTGCGTTATGACTTCCTTCCATCTTCACAACTTCCAATAATGGTGCAATTAATTTTTCGTTGTGAAAGAAATGACAAGTAACTGAAAGGATGCCTTCATTTGCAATTGATGTCCATAAGTCAGTAGTCACACTAACATGTTCTGCTTTCGATAATGCTATGACGAGCTTCTGTTTCACGTTTTCATAATATTCCGGCAGTAATTTCTTTTTCAATATTGTTGTATCAGGAATTTCATATCTACTATCGAGAGCATTTACAAAATCCCGAAATCCTTCATGTTCTCCTTTTCGCAAAGGTTCCATGTCAACAGCAATCATGCGCACGTATTTGTTATCCAAATTTTGCTTTGTTTTCCCATCTGGATATTTACTACTTCTATCAAAATAATTTTTTAGCGTATTTCTCTTTTTAGGGCTTGGGCCCATTTTCTCATTTTGCTCAGTGGTATCTACGTCTTGAGTAACAGAAACAGTGGATGACCACATCCATACCTCATTATGTTTTCTCTTCATATGATCGATCAAGTTCGTAGTATTTCCACTTAGTTTAAACTCTCTTTTACACAAAGAACACTTGGCAAACTTTTCATTAGTCTTTTTGAAGTAATCCCACGCACGTGACTTACTACTCATGTTTTATTGTTTAATTCTAAATTGTTTGTTACTCCACTCAACTTCAAACATCCACAATAAAAAACTGACTGACTGACTTTTGTCTTGTAAATGAATGATATACGCACGGTAATTCCCCAACCATAGAGAAGAATCTCAATGTCTACGCCTTTGAATGTATGATATACGCACGGTAATTCCCCTACCATAGAGAACAATCTCAATGTCTATACCTTTGTCACTATAGCCGGAGAATAACTTACATACATGCATACCTCGACTCTAGGGATGTAAAAGTAGTACCCGAGTAAACAATCGATCGATAGTTTTAAAAACTATCGATAGTATCGATAGCCATTTACTATCGATACCATCGATAGTCTATCGATGTTTAACGTACACTACATGTCACCCATCATAGATAACAATATACAGTATACACTCTATGCAGTATACACTCTTAACTGATAGATAATATACTATAATACTATATACCATGGAGGTTCTCTAAGCTCCATGTTATATGTACCAACCAACCAACCAACCACGGTTCTAGCTTGCTGCGGATTTATTAATGCGTATATATGTTACCGCCTGACACATAAGAAAACAAACAACAGTCACATAGATTTTAGAGCAAGACTTGGCAGAGGGCTCATAAATAATTTTAGTACCACCAGTCTACAAGCAATCACTTATAAAAACAAGAAAGGAGGTGTATTTGGAGTGCCGGATGAAGTGAGGTTAGCTAATGTGGGGTTGCACATGCCCTGCAAAGGTAAAAGAAGGCGGTGTAAATTTTGTAGCACAAGACGCGAGCAGCGCCGCACAAATATTATGTGCAAAATATGCCTTGTTCCTTTATGTGTAATACCTTGTTTTGAAAATTTTCATGTAAACCAGTACTGAAAATAATATAATTTGATAAATACTTAATCGGTTTCTGTAGTTTTAACACAATTTTCTACAAACTAACAATGAGTTTTGAGTTTCCAAATGAGCAATGGTCATATAAGAGTCCACATATTTTTTACTTAACGGGCAACGGTCTTATAGTGACCACATGATTTTTTCCAATAAAAAAATTAAATATCAATTTTTTATTTTATAACTTTATTTTATACATTTATAGGAACCCAAATTCAAACCCATATACTTTTGATACCATGCCACATAATGCCTTCACATGATTATGAACAATAGTCGCGGATTATTAAATCTATTCTCTAATAGCTCCCATGCGTGAGAATAGTTGTTAGCCGTAAATTCTAATGCACCTATGACGTGTGCCGCGGTACCGGACAATGACGATTTTAAATAATGAAATTTTTGAACAGGACCTAAATCATCGCGATCATGAATCATACTAACATAAGAATTTTTAAACTCTAGCCAGCAATCGTATGAACCGTCAAAGGAAGGTATTTTAATATCGGGTAACTTTATGCCTATCGGCTTACATGTTGAAACACTAGACTTGTCAGCTACTTCCTTTCTCAATAAAAAGTTTTGCGGAAGCTACAGACAATAAATTTGATTTTGGGTTAATCTGTGCGTGGTTCCAAGGTTTTTTCGAATTGATTTGATGCAATCATCAATTCAGCGGTCATCAAACGATCCCATCCCTATTCCCTACGCCTACAGCCTACACCACACTTGTGTACGCACCAAATGTACTCAGAGTACATCACCTGTTAATGATGAGCACCAAGTATTCGGGATTTGGATACTTTCTTTTTTTTTTTAAACCAGACATTGTATACATTTACGTAAAACTAGCGACAACAGATAAGTTATGATTAGCTAAACTCTATTTAAAAAGTGTAACATTTGAAACTACCTAAAAGGGTCTTTCAAATAAAACTCATAGATTAGTAGGCAAAAAAATTTTATTTTACACAAGGAATTGGCTGTATTGTTGTGTAAAACTTAAATATTTTCAGTCTTAACTGCACTGCGTTTCTTTGGAAATATGAGAAATGCACTTAAACCTAAACCTAATTAAACATTCACTTTCCTTCTTTGTGATCGCTGGTACCTTCACTTTGATCCTTAATTTCTTTACGAACCGGACCAGTTTGTGCTATCGGTACCTTCCTTTCACCCTTGATAGATTCTGGAACCTTCCGCGGCGCAGTTATTGTAAGAACACCGTCCGATGACAATTTTGATTCCACCATTTCGGGTTGAGTACCTTCAGGTAATGCGTACCTTCTTACGAACTGTCTTGAAACATAGCCGTGTTCATCTTTCTTCTCTTCATGCTTTCCTTCTACCACAATATATCCGTCTGCGGTCTTCACGGATATTTCTTCGGGGGCAAAATGCTGAACGTCCAAGTTGATTTGTAGTTTGTCTGCATCAGCTTTGATACTAGAACCGAGATCTTTCGCGGCCGCTGCAAGGTTTAGCCATGGTCTGTAGTATTCTCGAGTAAGCAATGGTCCGGCAGCAACGGATAGAAGGTCGTCGGGAGTCAACGGCAAAGCGAAATGCTGGTCTAAAACTCGGCGTGGACGTCCATAACCCCAATCGTCGAAAAAGTATGGCAGAAGAGACATTTTGTGCACTAGGAAATATGGGTTTGTTAATATTTCTGAAACACGCGAACGTATCCAATTATTGAATTCGACTGACAATCCGAGTCATGCGATCATCTTTTATATTAAATTCCCATCTTCTAGCGCCATCTAGTAACGAGTAGAAAGTTCTGGATTAAATGAAAAAAATAACAGAGACGCCCAACTTTAGGGGCCGCACTACATTTTTTGTATCATTTATAAGCGTACAACAATAACTGCGTACATTATGTTCGATTTTAGTTTTATTTAAGTTAATTGCATGCAAACGTAATTCTTCATTTTGTGTAATTAATTTTGCAATACAATGTAGTATCGTTCTATGGAATAAATGGCGATGACTATGTGACATGACTGTTATGAAGCTACTTATTAAAGAACGCTTGTTCTTTTAGATTCAATGACATATTTTAGATTAAACAAAGTTGGCAAAACGATCGTTTCTCCTCGACGTTGTTTTTCAACCTTTCACCTTAATTAAAATGAATGGAAAGCATATATATGTATATAGTGTGTGTTCCAAGAGAAGCTATTCGTTTCGTCCTATCGCATGTTTTCATATTATAATAAGTTTTAATGCACAAGAACATTAAAAAAGGCATTTCATTAATAATTTTATTTAAAAAATTATTTATCTCACTTGTGGGGGGAAGGTCGGTAACAAGATTTAAATAGTATATACTATATATAGTGTATATATAGTATATACTATTTAAATCTTTGGGTATAATTTGACGAGTACAATGTCTATATAATACATATTATGTTATTTAACACGGCAGAAAATGCAGGCAGATCATTTAGTTTGTTGTAAAAAATAGTTAAACCTATTTTACTTACTTCTATTTCATTAAATTCGATGTGACTATAATCTTATAACAAAATTTTAATAAATAATTAAAATATAACTTAAATAATAATTATTATTCAAAAATATTCTTCATAGTTAATCATATATAACAACAGGCAATAATACATAATATTATGTTATTTAATACGGCAGAAAATGCAGGCAGATCATTTAGTTTGTTGTAAAAAATAGTTAAACCTATTTTACTTACTTCTATTTCATTAAATTCGATGTGATTATAATCTTAATAAATAATTAAAATTTTAATAAATAATTAAAATATAACTTAAATAATAATTATTATTAAAAAAAATATTCTTCATATTTAATGAAATATAACAACAGGCAATTTTCATCATGACTTAGGGCAGTTTCTAATAATTAACAATAACTACACATGCACTTACAATAATATTAGACCTAAAACAAAAATCGAACCCATTAAGTATAAACATTTGAGCAGCCCTGTTATGTCGCGCCACGCTATAGTCGGTGTCATTGGCTTCTACGAAACGTTAGAAAGAGAACGAACATATGATAGCGATTGCCCGACCAGCCGAGCACATTCTCGAAGCTTCGGGTAGGTCATGTCCGTGAAACGCCCATTCTAGGCTATTATTAGATCAACAATTTTATTTTTGTTGATCTGTAACTACTTTTTTATTTTTAACAATAATATGCGGTATGATTTGTTTATATCACATCGATTCCAGTAAACGTTGTTATTATATTTTTTATTTTACTTGCAACTTCATTTATTTTGACAATGCTTTTTTTAATTTATTATTCTACGCTTATTTTTCACTTTTTAAATTGAACAGCATAACATAAGTAGAATAAACTTAAGAGATAATAAATTTACAATTTTCCCTTAGCTTGAACAATTTGTGGATTTTATTTAATGGATAAGTTTCGCAAGCATTAAAAAACGAGGATACCTATCTACCTATACATACCATAAACGTTCCATTAAAACAATACGCATTCTATACCTGCCATTGAAGTGTAATTAAGGTACCTAGGCACATTACATACTATCTCAATATTATGTACTTACTAATAAAATGTAATAATTTTTCCTCTTTTATGAACATATTATCGGTTACCTACCAATTTTGCAATGACATACATAGTAGTATAATGAATACATAATTAGGTACACGCCTACATACATCATAATCTTCAAAAACATAACCTTCCTTCTGGGGCAGTCACGAATAACATGATTTGTAAATAAAACCGGGGATGGGAAGGAGGGCCAAATGCAAAGATAATTTAATTTCTTTTGAATATCTTTGATCAAACGTAAGGGATAAGCAGTCACGGCCAGCTGCAGGCAAATTAGACAGAGACACATGAGTGAAGAAAGGAGAGGTCTATATCCAGCTGTTATAATTTTATTGTATACCTTCTTACGTAGGTACATTTTTTTGCAATTTGTTGTAAATGAGATTAGCTATTCTGACCCATTTAAAGTCAAAATATCTGATAGTAAGAATTCAATGTCGATATTTCGAATAACAAATTGTTCCAAGACGTTAATAATTTAGTTTTTGAAGGTAATTTTAGATTTAGTCGAATTTTGTGGGAGCTGTCAATAGTTACAAATTAACGTTATGACTAAGTTTATTATTACTGCTATGTAAACTAGTAACAGAAGATACTAGTTTATATAGCAGTAATAATAATATAACAATATTGAACAAACGGTCAAAAATCTGCTAGGTATTTTTAGATAAAATTAAAAGGGCAGGGCGGTGAAAGTGAAACGATCAATATCTCAATACCATGCCCGATGCGTGCGCACGAAAATTTATTGATTATTTTGTTAGGTGTTTGAATATCCTAAGTACCTACACGACAAAGATGTCGGTTTCTTTTACTCATGCAAGAATAGGCAATAATAATAAAAACAATGATAACCGCTTTATAGGTTTTGATTACAAATGTCAATGAACGGAGATACTAAACGATAAATAAATCAATTTAATAATAAAAAAATAAATTTTTCTGTTATATCATAAATTGTATAATTTTTTTATAAATGTTTTTATAGTAAAATTATTTTATGCAAAACTCTCATTGATTTAAAAAGTAAATACATATAGATGTTGTAAGTTCTTAAAACTATTTTAATCATTGATGATTTTTATATAATATCTAATCTACCAAGCACGACTGGTTTTTATGTTGAGCTATTATACTATTTAAGGATTTTATTGGACTTAGCTCTTATTTGACGAAAAATTGTATAAAATTCATAATATATTAGTAACGTCATCAATTCTAACATCGGCAAACATGTGTGATGCACTACAAAATCTGGGTAATATTGAATGTGAAAATGAAATTACGTGCTAGAGTCAGTCGACCGGGGAAGGACCACGTTCTCACAGAATACCAGCGTAAAATAGTAGTTTAATGCTGCTGTGTTTCGTATAGTGAGTGTAGAGAACCGGAGACCCGTTTTATTGGAAACGAGGCATTCCACCTAAGTCCTCACGCGTGATAACGCATCTGCATTTTGATTCGTAATCGAGGATTGATGTAGATGTCTATGGGCCACAGCATCCACTTACCATCAGGTGGACTGTGTGCTCATTTGTCATCCTATCCTATAAAAAAATTGCCAATTTGGTCGATAAACTTTCGTCTAGGGCGTCCGACAGAGTCGGGAAAGGGACGCCCTCTTACTTAAAACAAAAAAAAATAGAACTCAAGCGCTCAGCTCAAGCGAGGAGCAGTGGGAGTGGGACTTTATGTTCTTCAGGGATGCAAGAGCTAATTTTCTAATTTAATTTATCTTAAAATATCCATGGACTACCTAGGAACGGTTACTATCACGTGCACCATTTATTAAAAGCACTTGCTTGTCGCCATTGATTAAACATACCTACATATATATAAATACATATATATATACCGTTAATATAAATATACGATTTTTTTTATATACAGATATCAAAAGTTGGTTGGTGAGACATACACTGAGTTCGGTATTCAGAACATTAAGCTGCAATGAAAGTATGGCATGCATCTGATTTGAGTACCCTATATAGGGTAGTAGTAGTAGACTGGTTCACTCCTGAGTTTTCTGCAACGTTTCAATTTTTTACGGCCCGAAAAAAAACTTTATCAAATTTATCTTAACAAATAAAATCAATTGTATAATTACATAATTAATTTGTAGAATATACAATCACATGAAATCTAGAACATTCAATTGCACTACTTTACATTCTACTAATGCAGTACCTACTTTTAATTCCATTAATTGATCATGCTGAACCGGTTTAAAATTTTATTTCTAATGTCATCATCATCATCACAGTCTATCAAAGTTCACTACTGAACATAGATCGCAGGGGGATATTTGCCGTAATTTTCTTGTTATTTTAAGTTGTTAACAGGAAGCTCAGATGTAGTAAAGAAAGGCTGAGACAGGAAGAGGTAACTGGCCATATCATACATTTGCCTGTGTCGTCTCTTGCCACACCCAAAGGATATGATGGATATCCTTCACCGCCACTACACCGTTCCGTTATAATCTTTTATTATAATACATAGGCTGCACTAAAAGTATCGGGAATGGAATATTTCCACTGTTCCTGTCATATTAAAATCTTTTTAATTGAAAACTCCTTGGTTTTAAAAATCGAATACCATTTATTTATTTAAAAAAAGATTCTCGGTCTTGTCACAAGGTTTTGTCAAACTTGTTTAGCCGTTGAGAAAATGGAATTGACTCGAGAAAATTTAAGAGCGATGATTTATTACGACTTTCGAAGTGATTTAACACAAAAACAGTGTGTTGACCGGATGATTTCTGCATTTGGTGATGAAGCCCCATCCAAAACCACAATTTATCGCTGGTTTGCTGAATTTCAACGTGAACGTGTCAAGCTCAGTGATGACCCCGTCAAGGTCGTCCAAAAACTGCAGTCACCCAAGAAAACGTTGATGCTGTGCGTAAGCTGATTGACGATGGTCGACATGTGACATACCGCGAAATTCAGGCAACTTTAGACATTGGCATGAGTCAAATACAAATAATCATGCATGATGATGAAAATACTTTACATGTACAATTGGGTGTAAAAAGGTTATTTTCCCGATGGATACCGCATTCGCT